ATTTTATTACTGATCTTCCCCCTCCATATTCACTGTGGTCTCTTCCATTCTCCAGTTTTTGCTTAATGTATTGCCTTCCTATTCTTGTGAACAATCATCTCTTGAATTATCGACGTTAATGGAGAGAAGACTTCAAGAAGGGCAGCAATTAGATGAATTATGTGGTATTAGAGTGCTTTATAGATTGAAAGGTGATGAAGGACAGTTCTTCTTAGTAGGGTAGGCGGTCACCTAACTGTCTTGCGGCTCAGAGGACAGGCTCCAGTCTGCCGTCAGCCACACGGGCAGGCGCCCACAGGGATCCAGACGGGAGCCTGGCCCGCCTACACCGGGGAGGCCTGATTCTCGACAAAAGTCATTTGTTTTGCTCCCAGACTTGCTTAAACCAGGTATACTTATTACCTAATTGCATAATTAAATGTTATATAAACTGGTAAAGAGTGAGCAGCAAAAAAGATGTCATGTCCATGAAATCCAAGGGAAATTATGCTGTAGAAGAAACTGATAACATTAAGCCTCTAAAACTCTTTCTGTTGAACTGGGTGTGAGTGAGTCAAGATTGGACGAGAAGAACCTGGCCAGGTAGCTCAGTTGGTTAGCGTGTCGTCCCAATATGCCAGGGTTGTGGCTTTGATCCCTGGTCAGGGCACATGTAAGAAGCAACCAATGAATGCATAAATAAGTGGAATAACAAACTGATGATTCCCTCCACCCCATTCCTCCCTTGCTCTAAAATCAATAATAATAATAAAAAAAGATTGTGCAAGAAAAAAGGAGGAAAAGGAAAAGTAGAGGACTATGCACTGTATTCTAAGTGGGTGCTCCCTCCACTGTAAGTAAACTGAAACACAAATCACAGCCCCTAATGGGTGTGTCTTCTTGCTAAAAAGACTGCAAGGAGTGCCAGTTAAATAGCCTTAGCCCTGTTACCAAAAATACGTGATACGATGACATGTACATTGATTTTAATTTAGATTGAAGCAGTTAGGGAAGCACATCTTTCCACCACACTTTGGTCAGTTGTTTCAATTATGTATCTAACTACTGGTCCAGTCCAGGCCGGGCATCCATTCTCCTTAAGAGAGTACTCCATCCCCAAACACTGGCTGATCCCCGAGTGGGCTGACATAATGAAGTGTGTGCACATGTCAGGAAAGGGTTGGTGTCTCACCAGCTGCTCAGAGCAGGGGCCAGTGGTCCCAGGACTTGCTGAGGGGCCAGAGGAGACCTGTCTAAGTGTGAGAAGCAGCCTTGACTAGTGGAGAGTGGGGCTGACCCAAGATACTCTGGGCAGCATAAGAACTCTCAACACCACTCAAAATCACCCACCATTGATCCTGAGGCTGCGCTATGTGGTATCAGAGAAGTAGCAGCTCCCTTAGGCATGGAAGACCAGGGTATGGCCAGAACGGAAGTGGCATCAGGCAGGGGCAGTGAGGGAACAGAATCCAGGTTTTGTGACTTTGCCCTACAGTTAGTAAACAAAACAAAACAAAATGCTTGCTAGCTCTTCCACTAGTTAGCCCTGATTCCTTCTCTATACTTAATTGCACCACAGCCATTAATTATTACATTTCACCACTAGAGGGCAACAGTGTCTCTATTGTATAATGAATTCTTGTAGAATCAAGAAATCACTTAGAATCAAGGAATTTCCGAGCTAGGAGAGATCTTAAAAATCATTTGGTTCAGTGACTTTCAATTTTGTTTAGCAGAACTACATTCTTCATAATGACCTAGTTCACACATACATATATATGTATTTGAAACACCATGAGGTACTACTTACCCTTACTTCAGCAATGCACCCTGATAGTTTGTATTCCAAACCATCTCCATAAAGACAAAAACCCACAAAACAACTACAACCTACTAACTTTATTTCATACCCTACTAGTGGGCCATTAGTTTGAAAACTCTGCCTTGGTCCCAGCCTCTCATCTCCCAAAGGGATGTGTTGACCCCAAGGGTGGAGAGGGATCCCTCCCAGCTATACTTCTTTCACCCACCCAGCCGCCTGCTCACCCTGGGTTCAGACCTGGATGCACAACAGACATTGTGCAGCAACTGGGCACTCAGTTTGAATATACACTGATTGGATCAAGAATGCAAACCTGCACTTTGAGGATCTGCCATTTTTCCCTTATCAGTGCTACAACTACTCTTGTAATTATTGGGGCAGAAATTCCTAGGTCACTACATTGAAATCTTCATGTGGGTGGTGTCTCTGCTCCTTATTAAAGCAGATGAGGGACAGCTAAGCCGAATGAATCTCAGACGCCTTCCTGATGATCCCACCCCAATCAGAATTAGGGCCACAGTCTCTAGCCCAGTGCCTGGCACGTAGTAAGTGATCAAGAAACAACTAATGGATGAATGGACTGCTCCTCAGTATAATGGTAACTGAAATTTTTATGCTTTACAGTTGATACTTTTATCACCTTAGATGACTCTTAAGAATAACTGGTAGGGTTGGCAGGACATGCATTATTTCTATCCCAAAAGAGAAAATGTCCAGAAAAGACTTATATGAGCTTCTGTGGGTTGTGTGGCTCGCTGGAGGCAAAGTGAGGGACTAGACTATGGACTCCTTACAGCAACCCCTTGCTGGTCCTCTGTATTCTGGGAAGATAGTCCACGGCAGTTCCTGATAAGATTCAGCATGCACTGTCCTCTCCACCACCTCCTCCTCTGCTTATGCCACCCCCGAGGATCCTGGCATGCCCTTGTCACGAGTTTGTCACGAGTCTGCGACACACCCGCCCCAGGCTGCCTTGATCACCCTTGGAGGTGGGTGCTTCTTTAGCGGTGATATTTGGAGGAGGCAGAAAAATGGAAGAAAATAATGTCACTGAATTCCTGGGAGAGACTGAAACCACTTCAGTCTCCAGAGATTCTTGGCCCTGAAGGTCACTAAGCTCTCTTCCTTGTCTCCTTGGTTTTAAAAGGTAACTATTTTTGGAGGAAATGCAAAGATAAACCAGATAACCATGGAAGTTATCCTTTCATAGGGTCAATGCCCGGGATTCTTCTACTTAACTCCTCCTCCCTCTCATGCATACCTGCCTCTAATTCATTTTGAATATTTTTTTAGTAAAAGTGCAAACATATTTAATTCCCTGTGACTTCTAATTTATTGACTGATTTCCTATACCCTGTCCCCTCACTTTGGCCCCCCAAAGAGGATCCCTTTAAAATTCAGAACCATCTACTATTATAGATGAAAAGAAGTAATTACAGAACGTTTACACAATGGAGTACTACTCGACCATGAAAAATGAAGAACATTTCACCCTTTGCAACAGCATGGATGGACTTGGAGAACATTATGCTAAATGAAATAAGTCAGTCAGAGAAACATAAATTCCATATGGTTTCACTCCTATGTGGAATCCAGTGAACAAACTGAGCTAACAAGGAAAATGGGGACAGACTCATAGATGGAGAGCAGGATGACAGCTACTGAGGGGGGTGAGGTTAGAGGGTGGAGGGATTGAGCAAAAAGGAAAAAGGACTCACGGACATGGACAACACTGTGGTGATTGCTGGGGAGCAGGAGGTGAAAGGGGACTAAATGGTAATGGAAAAAATACAATAAAGAGTGAACAGAAAAGAATTGATCAATAATTTAAGAAAAAACAACAACCAGTAACTGAGCTCTTTTTGGAAAGGGATTTTTTTTTTTAACTCAGGTTTGAGAGCAAATTTATTTTCTGAAAGATGCCAAGTTCCCCCCGCCCAGGAGGTGACTAAATGCATGAAAATGCTAAGTATTTTATTTATTTTTTATAGTTTTAGAAGGAAGAAAAAAGTCCTGGAATTTGGAAAGGGGTGTGCCTTAGACATCCAGACTGGGCTTGATGTGGGGAACCCTCCCGCCGACCGCCAGGCAGCAGATCCTCAGGAGCTCCCCCTTGGGCTTCTGGGGAGTGACTGCACCCTCCTACTTGGACAGCTAAGTTCTAAAACTCTGTTTTATTCACTTCTCTGAACTTTTTTCCCCTGAGACAGCAAGAGCCGTTAAAACAGGTGACACGAATAGGTTGCCTTTTCCTAGGAACACTCTGATTTCACCCTTCAGTAAGTTTAGCCACTCTGGCTCCAGGTTTAAGTCTTTGAGGGACCCAGTCCAAGCCTCCAAATGGCCTACCCCATGACTACGCCTGACACCAGGTAGAGAACAACCTTTGACTAAACTCCTACTGGCCCTCTTTCAGACTCTGCCTATTGACACGCTAGATTCAGTTCTAGATTCTTTGAGGCTGAGTCTGCAGGCTCTGTGGAATATTTGGGAATTAGAGGAAAGAGAATGGTTACTTTCGGGGCAGACTTAGTGTAGTTCTGAAACTTCTGTAATCTGTTTGATGAAGAGAGCGATGTAGCTCTACAGACACAACATGAAACCTGCAGTCAGTCCCTTGTCATCAGTAACCAACCAATCAGCCAGCTGGAACGCTCTCCTTCAGTCTGTTCACTTAGAAAATGCCAGGATGACCAAGGTTCCTCTACCCAGGCTGATGTGCCCATTCCGACCACATCCTGAAAGCCCTTGCACAGGACCGCAATTGACAATCCAGTCGGTCCTTGGCCCAGCGTGGGAATTGGCTTAGAATTTGAATTTGTAAATCCCTCCCAGGGCTTCTGCTGGAGTCACTGGCGGTCGTGCCCGCCAATAGCAACCACTTCTGCGTACCCCCAGGCAAGATCAAGCCTTGCCTTTTGGGCCTGTTCCTCAGTTTCCCCATACACCTCTTCCCTAGGTATGGGAGATGCCCTGTGAACAATTTTTGGCGGCGTAAAGAATCAGCCAGTTTTCCGTGAACTCTGAACACCGGCGCGCGCCTGCCACGCCCTGGATACTTCAGGAGCTCCGAGGCGCCACCCCAGTCTGGGTGGCAGACCCGCAGCTGGGTGGACAGGTGAGCGCAAGCAGGCGTCACCGCCCACACGGTACACGGCGGGGTCCCAGCCTGCGCCCGCGATGTCGCTCCCGCACTCACCCACACGCTGGCCCTGTACACCGTGGACAGCATTTGCAGGTCGCTGGGAGAACCCTCGCGGAAGTTGAGGAAATGCACCGCAGCAAGCGCCCCCTGGCGCAGGATCCCGTCCGGCAGCAGGGGTCCGCCCGGGATCTTCAAGTTCGAGAACCAAGAGGGCAACTCGAAATCCAAGGGCAACGCGTAATCGTAATCCTCGTAAGCCCTCTCGTAAACCTTCTCGTAATCCTCGGGCTTTTCGGACTCCCCAGGCCGGGCCGGCGCCGCCCCCGTCCTCTGGAGGGCGAGCAACAGCAGCAATGCGAGCAGCGGGGCCACGGGGCGCGGGCCCCGGGGCCCAGGCTCGGACAGCGGTTGCTGGCGGGGCTGCATTGATGTGGCGGGCTCGCGAGGCGCTGGACTGGCCCAGGCTTGGAGCTGGCGATGCGGACTCTCGAAGAAATAAGGCCGCATCGGGCCCCGCCCCTCCGCCCCCGGGGCAGCCTGCTGCTGGGAGCCCCGTCCCCATCTGCCGCACCCTCGGGAATTCCCACGGACCTTCGGCCCCTGCGCCCCGCCCCAGTCTGCCTGGGCAACCGCTGCCTGGTCTCCACACTGGGACTCGGGGGCGCTGCCGTGGGACAGAGGTGTCAGACCCCTGCCGTGCGTGGGCAGGGGGACACAGCGGGCAGTGGAGACTCCTTCCGCGAGAGGGCGCAGCCCACCCAGCGCCCCGCCGCGCAGCTCCCCCAGCCCAGCTCTTGGACCCAGCTTTTCTGCCCCAAGGGTGCGGCGATTTCAAAACTTCGGGTTTCAGCGTCAGTTCTTGAAGGCTTGGCGCTGTGATTTCCCAGAGGGTGAAATTGCGGCGTTGAGGGAGGTCAGGGTAGCATGATGACCGTGGAAATGGGACAGGTCGCTGGAGAGCTGGGGCTGGAGAGGAGGCTGAAGTTGTCAGTGGGGCAGAGTCAGACAAGGACCAAGAGGCCCCACTGGACTTGGGAACCAGTAGGTCATTAATAACCTTGGTGAGAAGCATATTTAAAGGCTGGCGGTGGAAGCCGGATTCCAGAGGCGTGAGGCGTGGATGGGGCCTTAGGACACTGTAGGCTGAGAGGGAATGCTGACAGCTCTTTTCAGACACGTGGCGGTGAAGGGATGAAATGGCTACTGTTTTTGATCCACGGACAAGAGAGTGCGCCCAGGAGAACAGGGGGTAGGGGGCAGAACTGATACTGCGGGGCGTTCCCAGCATCCATTTTTCGGTATCTCTTCATTTTGTTAAGGGGTCCACTCCTCCCCGGTACCCGCTGACTCCTCCGCCCCACTGTGGAGCTGAAGGAAGTTCCTTCTCTTTGCTGGGGACTCCGTCTGACCCGGCATGCGAGGTTCTGGATGAGATGCTGGGGCTACCGTCTCTGAAAATATCCTTCCTCCCCCACTTCTTCCTATGGATGTTGACCGTCTCCTGTCTGTCTTTCCTTGCTTCTGCAGGTATTTATGGGACACCTACTCTGCTAGGGACAATGAGGGAGACAATCTCAGAGTACACCTTCCAGATGGTGGGGGTGGGGGCTAGACAATGAAACAAGCAGGGAAATGTGCCCTGTGTTGGATTTGGGTGCAGTTATACACAGTGGAGAAAATTCAAGCCCAAAGAGGGGTGGGCAGTTGGGAGGTAGTTATGGTTTTAAATAATGTGGCCAAGGCAGGCTCACTGGGAAAGTGCTGTCCGAGTAGGGACCTGAGGGAGATGGGCAGCAGCGGGGCATGTGTGGAAGAGCCCCATGGGCAGGAGGAACAGCAGGTGCAGACACCCTGGGGCAGGAGTCCCCCGAGCATGGAGCATGTTTGAAGAGGAGCGAGCAAGTGCAGCTGGAGGGAGAGTGCAAGGGAAAGAGTACCAGGATGAGGAGCCACGGGGTCCTGGGGGATGGGGAGGTCATGCAGGACCCCACCACGTGCCTTGTCTTAGCTGGATGTGCCACCTGGAGGAACACTCCTGTCTTGCCAGCAGCCAGAGAATGAAGTCCATCTGAAGAATGGCTGAGCAGAGAGAGGGGAGGAGCCTAGGTTCTGGACAACATTGTTGAGCACCCAAATCAACTGATCCTGGAACAGCCACATTCCATTTTAAAAATGTTTAAATCATAGCATTCATTTTATAAACAGATTTTCTGGGGTATAGGAGAATATTTCCTTTGCTGAGAATTGTCCGTTCATGACCTTTGTCCACTGATCTGTGGGGTGTTTGTACTTCTAATTGATTTGCAGAAGCCCTTCAAATAATAGGGAATTTAGGCCTTGGTCTGTCATGGGTATCATTACTAATTTTTTTCTCAGTTCATATACAGTGTCTGTGTGTACAGACTGTTCCACTTTGCCAAATGCCATGTGCATGGGTGATATTAACTGCACAGCCCTCTGTCCAAAGGGCCCGTCCTCTGGAGTCATATGTACCACCTCCAGCCCTGGTCCCTCCTCCTTGGGGTGGGTGGTTGAAGCCTTCTCCCTGCTGCAGTGAGGAAGGTCCTATCGGGCCGGGCTGACCCCCAGCCTTGTGCAGAGGCAGATGGGTCCCCACCAAATGTGTCCCGTGTGCCATGTTTGCTAGTTCCTTAGTCACTATGCAGGTCGTCATCATTTTTGTACAGAGAACTTGGCTTGTGTTTAAGAAACATAATGATATAAAAAAAGCTATAGTGACTTTTAATCATAGGAAAAGATGTTCAGTATGGAGGGTGAGAGAATAAATTGACACAGCCTTTTTCTTGGGCCATTTGCATGTCCATCAAAATTGGCAATGTACATAGCTTCTGACCCAGCAATGCTACCTCTGGAGTTTATAGTAACAATAAATTCACACATGTACACAAAGTAGTGTGGGTGAGAATGTTCCTCTCTGCATGAGGTTTGCACACCTCCCAAATATCAATATCTCACTTTCTGTTCTTCATTCCTAGAACAGTGCTTGGCACACCACAGGCAACCATACATAATTTGGGGGAACGAATAAAGCATAAAAGCCTGGGAAAAAAAATCTAAGTTCCATGGTCGAACAATTACGATACCTCAGGCACTGTACCAAACCCAGAACCAAGTTGGGTTCTTGTCTCCCGAAATAAAACAATTTAGTTCGGGGACGCCAATCATGAAAATAAGATTTACTTCAGCTCTGCAGAGGGTGGAAACTCTAGGAATCAGAATCATAAAGTCCCACCTGTGTGTGAGTGCTCAGGCTTTTTACTGGGAATAGGCTCTTCCGTTTCAGTGGGAGTTTCTATGGCTACAGGGTACGACACGTGGTCATTGGTCCCCCCCACCCACAGGTGCACCCTGGTCTTGTTTTTCTCCTTCTTTAAGCCCTGTAAATAAGCTCAATAAAAGATAGTTGTTTATCTTGTGTTTCTTAGGGGTCTTAGGCTAGTAGCGAGCTTCTAGGTGCTCCCTTCTCCTCCCTTCCTCAGACACCTGTGGTATCTCACAACTGCAAGGAGAAGTGTCAAAGGAAGTTCCCAGACCAGGGAGGCTTAAGCTCTGTCTGCTCTGGTTAGGGAGGTGTAAACCATTTGCTCTCAAGGTGTCCTTGGTTAGCAGAGATGAGGCATTGCGATTTACCAACTGGCTGTAAGTTGCTCAAACTGTTTGGCCTTGTTTAATTTTCTTGCCTCTGTTTTGCCATTCCATTTGCTCAGCAATTTTTCTAGCTTCTTACTTACTATCCTGTCATGCTTCCAACTAGTGGAGTATTACGCAGCCATTAAGAAGTGGTGAGATCCAGGCTGGCAGACACTGAACCATCTCTGAGATATAAGTTGGTCAGCAAGTGTAGCATAGGGCAAATTGTGTGCTACTGATGATCTGAAAAGAGACAAATAGCATACACGTAAGCATACATATATACCTGTGGAAATACACAAAGATGTCTCTGGAAACATTTGTAAGAAATTAACAACTACTTTTCACCTCATGCTCTTTTGTGGCAGGTATTTTCTTTGTCATGCATGTTACCCATTCTAAATAACTAAAACAAACAAAAAAAATAAAATGCTGTGTATGAATGCACTCCATATCCATTCTTTTCCAGTTAGGAAGATCCATCCCTTCTAAGGGACTTGACAATTGTATCATTTAGCATGGCCAGGGCTAGCCTGTCCTCAGGCTCGATGAGCACATAGTCCAGGCTAGTCTTCCTCCCTCTGAGCCTTACCTTTCCACACTCTTCTCAGGCCCAGTTATGTTTCCCCACATTAAAAGTCCAGGAGAGGTGTTGAGGTGCTGACTCATACTGTGTTGTCCATGACGGCCATGGCTTACCACAGTGCTCTTCTTAAAAGCATTATCATTTTAATAAGGGTAGAGTCATAAGCCTCGAGAACTGAGTTCCGATCGAACAGATTGCAGGCATTCGCAACTGTTCAGTGTGCTAACCAGAGGCATCAGCAGCCTCAGCATCCACACCTGCCCCTTCCTGCCTGTTGAGTAATAAGAGGCCAGAGAGCTGGGAGGGAAGGTTTTGAGGGGTGCTAACTATTCATTTCCCTCCTCCAAGACAGGAGGGACTGGGGTGTGCCTTCCCTGGAGGTGGCTGAACACAGAGGATTGCTGAAGTACCTTTGCCAGAGGCCCAAGGGGACTAGGTATGAGGGGACTGACTGGGTTGTGATGTGCTGACAAAGAAGGGCATGGTGACAGTGCTGTCACGTCTACCTCCAGCTCTCCTGGTTTGTGGTGAGTGTGGGTGAGGACTCCAGAGCAGGTGTGAGGAGCCGCAGGCCCCATGTGCCAGAGTGGCCTGGAACTGTACCACCCACAGGTGAGGTTCCACGGCCATGCCTTTGAAGTTGCCGGTGCCACTCGCAGCCCTCAGGATGAAGCAGAGATGAGGCACGGAGAGACACCAGGTCCTTGCGGATATGACTCACCTGCTGCCTCACGACCTACCCGAAGCTTACTGTAGCTACACTGTTCGATTATGAGAATTGATAGGCCAAGTTTCTGGTTTCAACCAACTTACACATGATTTTGTTACTCCAGTTGAAAAATCCCTAATGGATGGCTGAGGACCCAAAGATACAAGGCTGCCCCATGTGGGGTCTGCCTGTGCCAGTACTGGGGACGCCTCAGCTGCCTCTACTTTGAAAAGACCATATTGACAGATTCCACCAACTTCAGGCTGAACCAGCTAGTGAAAGGCCCCTGTCTCCAAACAACCCCCAGCCATGCTCACCAGAGTGAGCAGAGGTGGGTGACTCACACACACACACACACACACACCACCATACCCACGTGCATACCTTTGGAGTACTTCCTCATACAGTTGTCGGTGAGGTTCAGATGCGCTAATATCTCTGCATCTGTGAAGAACCTCACCAGACACAGGGGCCGTGCCAGCCATGAGTCTCCAATGAGAAGTGACTCCCCTACTCTCTCAGGCTCTTCTCTGAAGAGAGCAGAGTCAAGGGGAGTAGAAGGGAAAACCACCCCTGTGGCAGGAGACGGAATCCCTTAGATCAGGGTGTCAAACT